ACTGCCAGGGTTTGGAGGTTTTGCAGCCAAGACCTGGCTCTGGCGCTCCCCATCTATCCTGAAATCATTTGTTTGTATTGATTTACCAAAAATGTCACATGACAATAAACAAAAATGTATCTGTACTTGTATCCATGGGTACTTGGAGAAGTATCAATACTTGATAATTCCAGGAGCTCCGTATGTTAATTAAAACTGACGGCAGCCACCACAATTTAGAGGGTTATTCACAAAGTTAGCCGAAGGGTCAGCCGTAGCCCCGGGCGATTCCTCGGCTAGCTTCGGCCCTTCGCTTCAGTAGAACTGAAGGGCTGCTGTACGGGCTATTCACTATAGTCCGTACAGCTCCCGAAGCTGGCCCAGCGGCTCAGTCAAGCCGAAGGCATATGCTTGGGCTCGACTGAGCCGAAGTGAAACCCGAAGCGGGCCGAAACCCATTGGCCGGCCGAAAGCCTCGCAAATGACAACTGGGTGAAGCCAACCGTGATTTCATGGCTGGCTCCGCATAGTTGCAATGACAGACCAGGTTACCTGGGGATGCTGAGAACTGTCATTAATCAACGACAACTTGGCGGAGCCGGCAGTGACGTCATGGCCGTCTCCGCCCACTTGTTATTCATTGGCCGGGACCATTGTTATTCATTGGCAGGAAACAGTTGGGCAGAGCTAGCTGTCACTACTAGCTCCACCCAATTGTTTCTTTCTTTTGTTTAATTATTTTTTCTTTTTTCATTGATCTTCATTTTTGTTCTTTTTTTAATGATTTTTTTTATTTATTTATTTTTTTGGAAATCCTTATTTATTTGTTAAGATTTATCATTTATTTACCTTTTGAAACATTTTTGCACTCTTTTTCCTACTTTTTGCACTCTTTTTCTATTCTGCTAGGTACCACGGAGGTACCAAGCAGAATAGACAAGCTGAATGTCGCTCGGCGGCAGTCGGCTATTCACTCACTGCCGTTCGGCCCCTATGAGAATAGGCCGAACAGAAGCAAGTAGCCTGCTGGAGGTTCGGCTCAGCCGATCCAGATGTTGCATCGGCTGAGTGGAAGTCCTTCTGCATTTCGGCTCAGCCTCCAGGACTTCTCTAGAGTCTCTCCCATCCTCTGGAACTCTTTACCCCAACCTGTCCGTCTATCTCCCACCTTGACTGGCTTTAGGCGTTCCCTAAAGACTCATCTCTTCGAGGAAGCCTATCCCACCTCAACCTAACCGCTCAACCATCACGTTCTCAAACAATTCATCCCCACACAGCTCCCCCCTCAAGTATCACTGGCCCCTCTCTCTTAGATTGTAAGCCCTCAGGGGCAGGGCCCTCCTTACCATCTTGTCTTGAATTGTATTGTGATTGTAATGTCTGCCCTATATTGTAAAGCGCTGAGCAAACTGTTGGCGCTATATAAATCCTCTATAATAATAATAATAATAATAATAATAAAACGTAGTAGTAGTAAAAACACTACTGGGCTGAAAAATGTGGTGGATATCCCAAAGCTACAGATGAAACCCTTGTCTCTTTTTGATGTCGTTCCTGGTCAATGTGCTTCTTTGTATCTTCCAGTTGCCTATAGGGCCTGCTTTTTCCCGCTATTTTTCAGAATTATTATTATTAAGTTGAACATATTTGTCTATTTTCAGCAGTTAAATTACAGCGATGAATATAAGAATTATAGTAATGTGCATAAGGTACCAGAGAGAGCCCAATTATCTAAAGAGAAGAAAGATTTTTTTATTTTCAGCCATATTAATTAATCCCAGATGACGTCTTGTGACTGAAACCAAAACACAATACAATTAACGGCAAATAAAATATTGACATTGTTGTTTCTATCATTTTCCTATGAGCACTCAAACAATTCATCCCCACACAGCTCCCTTCTCATGTATCACTTTCCTCTCCCTTTTAGATTGTAAGCCCTCAGGGGCAGGGCCCTCCTTACCATCGTGTCTTGAATTGTATTCTGATTGTAATGTCTTGCTTATATTGTAAAGAGCTGTGCAAACGGTTGGCGCTATATAAACCCTGAATAATAATAATAATGTTCAGCCTAGGGATGTCCCGATGCCACTTTTTCAGGCCCAAGTACAAGTACATCCCCTCATGTACTTGCCGATACCAATTACCGATACTTTTTCTTAAAGGGACAGGTGCCTTTAAATGATCCATAGTACAACTACATGTTATGTACTATGGATCATGGTTTAACCTATTCATGTTAGCAGCGGAGAATTGTAACTCTATTGCTGGAGTGTAGTGGAGGTGTGTGCTGTATATATGTACTACATATACATTACACACGATCAGTACACTATAGCAATAGATTTACAGCCAGCCCTGTCCCAGCTTCCCTTACTCACAGTTTTACTCCGATCCTTGTTGACTCTCGTAGTCGGCGCTGGGCAGGATCGCTGCATCGCATCTCAGTGCTCAGCTTGTGGAAGGCGCTCTATATATACTGCTAATACAGTGCAGACAATACATAATTGCTTAATAAATCCCCCCCAAATCTGCCCTTACTCACTGTGAGTCACTGTGCCGGAGAGAGCAGGGATGAGTCAGCGGCAGCGCTGGTCCAGTGGGAGGAGCTCCAGGTGGGGTCCTAATTTAGCTGGCTTAGAGGTGCCTGCCAGCTAAATTAGAACCCCCTGGAGCTCCTCCCACCGACCAGCGCTGACTGGCCGCTGCCGGGTTATCGGGCCCGATTCTGATGCTAGCATCGGTATCGGGACATCCCTAGTTCAGCCTAACCGAAGACAGCTGAAGCAAGCCGATGTTCGGCTGAAGTCAGCTGTACAAGCCTGAAGTGATTAGCCGAACAGCGTTCAGCTCACTACACTTCGGGTGGGTTGTTCACTTGGCTACCTACGGCAGCTTTGTGAATAACCCTCTTAGATAGACAATTTGAATGTTAAGTAAATTTAGATTATGTTTTTATATATTTGTCTGCAAAAAATAGTTATCAGATTTTAGTTGTTTTCCTTTTTAAATAGTTTTCTAGATAGGATTTTTTGGGTCTAGAAAAATGTTTTTAAAAGATGACATATTTTAGAAAAGGAATTTTGCCAAACCGATTTTTTGACTAAATGTGAACCGCCGGCAAATATCATGTTAATTTTTCAACTGACCATGGGAGGCTGTGTAGAGACAGAATAGAAGTTGTAGAAGGACAGAGGCTTGGGGAACCGCTACTGAAAGAGCAAGAGGAGGGTATTAGATAGATTTGTAGGTGACGCTAATGTTGAGATTAGATATATAGGAGGAGATCCATAAGAGAGAGCCGAGTGTGTTATACCAAGATGTCCAATGTGTAGTATAATATGAGAGCTTTGGTGAAAGGTATATCTCCTCCTGGGTAGTACATCTCCGATATAAATGTTTTAGTATATTATGAAGTGGGGCACTTGGTTGTGAAGAGATATTTCGGCCTGGATGGTAGTTGTGAGATGTCCACTCCGTAGAACAATGTGATGGGAGATCTTTAGTTGGAGGTAGATGTCCGGTTGGCAAGTTTTGTATGTACAAGGGCCAACATAATGTCATGGGAGAAGTTTAAATTGGCAGGAAAGTTGCAGTCTGAGATGACAGGAGATGTAAAAAAGGAATGTAATTATACTAAATCCAAAATTTAAACTCAATAAAAATAGACCTATTTATATTTATTTACAAAACTCTGCACTGAACCTTCACCTCCAAACCCACAGAATGGCAGCTATACTCAATTATATTAAAAACTTAGATGTGTTCAGTGCTAAATGAATATATAAATAAATACATACACATATATCTTATTAACAATAATAGCCCTAAATCAATACGTGCTTATTAAATAATAATGCATGTGATACAATACAAAGGTAAAAACCTTATATACACTATTAACCCCTAAATACATACTTGCTTATTAAGTAACATTGTGTTCCAATGCAAAAAGTTCCCACAATTGCTTTCCATACACCAAGGGGGTTATCCACGAAGGAGCCGAAGGATCCTTTGCTTCTCTTTGGCCGCCGGAGCCCTCCAGTTCGGTTAAAAGGGCTGCTGTACGGGCTATTCACTATAGCTAATACAGCAGCCGAGCGGCTCAGCAGAAGTGACACCGAAGGCTGGCTGTAAGCCCCGCAATTGACAGCTGGATGGAGTCAGCCGTGATCTCACGGCTGGCTCCGCCCAGTTTTAATGACAGGTCAGCGTCCCCTGGGGACGCTGATCTGTCATTAAACGTTACCAACTGGGCGGAGCTGGCTGTGACGTCACAGCTGGCTCCACCCAGTTGTTATTCATTGGCCGGGACCTGCCAGAAGGCTCTAGCAGGTCCCAGCCAATAGGAAAGAGTTGGGTGGAGCTAGCTGTCACTGCTAGCTCCGCCCAATTGTTTTTTTTCTGTTTTAAAAAATCTTTATTTTTTAATTTTACTATTTTTATTTACATTTTAAAAATAAGTTTTAAACTTTTTTTAAACTCTTGTCATTGATTTTTCTATTTTGCTCGGAGGTACCACGGAGGTACCGAGCAGAATAGCCGAGATGAATACCGCTCAGCGGCATTCGGCTATTCACTCGCTGCCGTTCGGCCCCTATGAGAATAGAGGAGCATGTTCAGCTGAACAGAAGTGCAGCTGAAGGCAGCTAGTGTACGGCTGATTTCAGTGAATAGCCGAACAGCGTTTAGCTCACTTCACTTCAGCTAAGTTATTCACTGGGCTGAATAACCCCCCAGGTCATCATTTAAACATGTTTGTCTACATTCCGCAGGTGCCCTTGGCCTTATCTCTATGTGAACTCACTTCTTAACTCCACTTCCACCTCCTCTACTTTGTCATAGGTGAATGGTTGGAACAGGGATCTGTCTTCTCTGCTACTGGGTTCCTACACGAATAGATAAGGCGATCCGGTCATATAGTGATCAATGTCTCCGGGGATGCGACCAACTGGGAGGCGTCTTACATGTTTGGTGGACGTGCCCTAAAGTGATCTCTTTTTGGTCCAGGGTATTTGGTTTCACAATCGCTCTTTCACGTTACGGTCCAGAAGGACCCACGTGTAGCCCTTCTTAACCATAACGTTTCTATGCTATCATCCTTTCAACAGACCTTACTTTGGCTGTGAAGCAGACTATTGCAAGAATGTGGAAGACACCCAGGGTCCCATTTCACAAAGTGCGGCTCCATATGAATACAATGTTAATTAATGAGAAGATGACGAGCATAGTCCGTGACTCTCATGCTAAATTTCTCAAAGTTTGGGACCTCTGGATCTCCTACACCCTTCCAACTGCAAATTCCTCGAGCCTCAGCAGTATTCAGCGAATCAGCATGTTCTGCCCCTGGACTTTTGTATCGGCGATAGGGGGTGATAGGGACCCTGGATTTCCTTCTCTGATTTTCTCTTCCACTGACCCTTACTGTCACTGTTTTTTTTTTCTTCTCTTCTTTCCACTTTGATTTATCCCCTTTTCTTTTCATTTTTATGGCCCCCAACCACTTTTTTTCCTAGTCTCTTGACAAGTTGTCGGGAGTCTCCTAGCTTGCATCAATCCCGTCCTTTGTTTTGACTACCTTCCTTGGTGGTTGCTTATTTGTTTTCGGCATGCAACAAAGTTAAAGAAGACCCTACAGTCAAAGATCTATCAAGCTGAAAGCTTAGCCGGACTTTTTTTCCTGAGTCATGCTTTGTTAAAGACCCCTGGAACGTGGGTGGTTTCACTTGTTCCCTTTTATTTAGAACTCAATAAAAGTTCACACAATTGAAAAACATGAAATCCAAAAAGATCACTCCATCTTCGAAATGTAGATTCACCTCTGTGTAAATCCCTTAAACAAAGAGCGCCCACCCAATCACAACGATCTCTTCAGATAGTCAAATGTGCTCCAGATATATACATGAATCCGGCTCCCCATAGAGAATCCCAGGTCCTGGTACCCTGGCTGGGTACCTCCTTCAGAAATCCGCTTCCTCTCCGCTGGAACCCGAATTCCAGTGTCCTCAGCCCACACCTGCCTAATTATTGGACGGAACCAATATATTAGGACAGAAAGCTAAACTCCTCAAACATCAGACAACACCAATGTTGAAGTGAAAACCAAGAACTGACTTTATTGGAAACCAGCTCAGTATTTATACCGTTCTGGGGGGGTCTAAAACATAATACAATCAGACATTAACAGAATGGAAGCAGCCCACCCCGTCCCCGATGCCTTAATGAATAAATAGGGAGAGAGGAGACACATGTGATGGGATTATCTGCTAAGTGTCTATCATATGGTAATCTACTCATCTACACCCGAAGTCAGCTACACCCAGAGTCACCTACACCCAGAGTCAGCTACACCCAGAGTCAGCTACACCCAGAGTCACCTACACCCAGAGTCACCTACACCCAGAGTCACCTACACCCAGAGTCAGCTACTCCTAGAGTCAGCTATGGTAATCCCATCATTAACACAATAGAACAAAGGGACAAATAAACTGTAACACGTTCAATGGGAATCTTAGCCCAGAATTAACCCCGTTCAGTGCTGCTGGATACACATCCTGTACCTATAATGAACACAGGGTGACTTAAGCGTAATGAAAGGAAAATATATAGTATATTCACTCCACACATAAACCTGGGATAATAGTTCCTTGTAACCCCAAGAGGTCTGAGGGGGGTCTCCATAGTCCTAGGTCCATAGTCAGTAGGAAGGAGGCTAGCCCCCAGGCTCCTCCAACAGCCCCAGTGACGGTTCAGTCCGTCACAATGAGCTTCTTCAGAGCCCGTTTCACATCTTGGTTCCTTAGACTGTAAATGAAAGGGTTCAGCATAGGTGTGATGATGGTGTAAGCCATGCTAACAATGCGATCATACTGGGAGGAGTAGTCTGATGGCGGGCGAAAGTAAATGAAAATGTCAGTACCATAGAACAGACAAATGACCATGAGATGAGAAGAGCAGGAGGAAAAGGCTTTGCTTCGGTTGCTGCTGGTCTTCATTTTCACTATAGCCCATCCAATGAGCACATAGGAGATGATTATAAAAAGGAACGGAATAATGACAACCATAGAACCTTCAGAAAATATTAGGTACTCAGCTAGTGTAGTACTGGAGCAGGACAGCTTGATGAGGGGGGTCACATCACAGAAGAAGTGAGGGATCAGTCTGTCCTCACAATAGGTCAGTTGTGACAGAATATAAGTGTGCAATAATGAATGTAGAGAAGCTGCCACCCAGCCAGTACTAACCAGAGCCACCATAACCCTATCATTCATGATTGATATGTAGCTTAATGGGATACAAATGGCCAAATATCGATCAAAAGCCATGACTGACAGAAGAAAAATCTCAGTGGTGCCCAGAAACACAAAGAAATACATCTGCAGGAAACAGCCAAGGAAGGAGATGGAGGCTCTCCCATGAAGAATGCAGGACAGTAGCTTGGGAACCGTCACTGTAGAGAAAGAGATGTCCACCGCTGACAGGTTCCCCAAGAAAAAGTACATAGGTGTGTGCAACTGCCGAGAAAGCATAATAGAACTCAGTAAAAGAAAGTTAGCCGTCCATGTGAGGACGTAGATAAACAGAATGGTGGAGAAGAGAGCGGCACGGTTGTAGTGAAAGTCTGAGAAGCCCAGAAGGATAAAACCGGAGGTTAGATTTACTGTCTCCATCAGAAATTATCCAGACGTCAGCTTTCTGCAGCTTCCAGCCACAGGGGGAACCTTTGTATCTTTAGCAGTGACCTTGTGTACCCATGGCTCCACAACTAAATGTCCAAATATAGTACATCCACAGTCCCCACCTTCTCAAACAAAATGCTGCACACTTCCCCTTGAAAAGAGAACATTTTTTGACAAATTCCAGCTTTTGACAAATCCGTGATGGCTACGATACCTTTTTTGATAATCCTATGTATTGTACAATATAAGGCCACCATGAAATATGATTATGTAGGTTATTGGTGACCAAATCCACCTTTCTTTATATTTGCAGAACACCGAACCATCAGCAGTCAGTAAATAATCTGTAAAAATTAAAAAATAATGTGTTTTTTTTATATAACTAATCTTAGCTCTTTGAGTACTTGTGGGTGCAAGCAGTTTGATCCGGGAGCTTTTTACTCATATTTGTTTAATTGTTTTTGACCAGATCAGCATAAAGAGATTGAAGGGAAATTATCAATACTGGAGCAGACAGAATCTGGAGCAGCTGTGCATGGGACCCAATCAGCTTCTCTGTTTCATTTTCAAACCTTCCCTGAACAAACTGAAGAGATAAGCTGATTGGTTGCCATGCACAGCTGCTCCAGATTTTGTCTGCTCCAGTTTTGATAAATCCCCCCCCTGCTGTGTTTGATAGTAATCGAGTTACAAACACATCATGCACCAGTAACCTAATGGACATTGTACATACAAAGTGAAAGAAGGCATTTATTCATTATCTTTTCCTCGCGCCTGTTGGTCAGTTCAATGCTGTCTTTTAGGGACCCGACCTGGGCAGACCTTCTTACTTTACATAGTCAGGTTGAATAAAGACACAAGTTCATCAAGTTCAACCGATGTCCTAAGCTGGCCATACACCTCTAGATTATCTTCAGATGTTCTATGGCCACATGGAAAAAGTGCAACAGATTCCCCCATCTATGCTAAACTGTGTGGATGGAGGAATCTCCCACTGGGCCAAGCTTCAGTATCTTGCTGGCTCTCAGAATACCTGAACAATGCCGGCTTCCAGTCAGATTGTTCAGGTATTCTGAGAGCCAGCGCGGCCGACTAGCAAGATACTGAAGCTTGGCCCAGTGGGAGATTCCTCCATCCACACAATTTAGCGTAGATGGAGGAATCTGTTGCACTTTTTCCATCTGACCATAAAAAGTCTGCAGATAGTCTATAGGTGTATGGCCAGCTTTAATGCTGGGCTCCAGGCAAACATCAGGATATACAGTTGAAATAAATACATAGGAGATGTTTAACTTCTCAAAAGTTTTTTTTGTTCCTGTCTAGTTAGCTCTGAGATTGTCATGCCCTGAGAGACCACACAACAGAACTGGTGACCTTACTTTCCTCTACAGCAGCCAAGCAGCTTGGTCACCACCTCTAGGCTCCCAGCCTGCAAATGGACACTGGAGAAGCAGCAGACTGATGAGGTCATCCCTCTCTTCTCTACACCTGTCAAGTTCCTTTTCAGCATATGTGCAGAATATGATTTATTTAGAG